CTGAACAGACGGAAAAAACCCAAAACTATAAACCCTAAACCCCAAACCCTAAACCCTAAACCCTAAACCCCACTCCCTCGGGTACTCCATTAAGAAAGAAGAAGTATATCTGCAGTTGTATTGTATATAAAAACACGAATTTGTCTTAATACGATTCACAAACCCTAAACCCTAAACCCTAAACCCTAAACCCTAAACCCTAACCGGGGCGCCAACACTCACAAGGCCGCAGGCCACGTACGGGCGCTGGGTTGAGAGGAAGACAAAAGAAAACCCTAATTACAAACCCCAATTGTGGCAAATGCTGTTCTAGAGTCTAGGGTTTAGGGTTTAGGGTTTAGGGTTTAGGACCCACCGGCAATGCATGCACAGCTGCATCAAAGCCCCAACATACTCTGCATACACCTCAGTGTATATTATCATCGATAAATGAATTATATTTTTTCTTTTTGAATTGTTTTATTATTTTTATTTTATTTTATTAAAAATATATTTAAATATTCGCACACTTTCAGGTGTATGTACACCTCATACCAGCTCGATGCTGGCTGCCGACTAAACCCTCATGAGGGTTTCAGCTTCAACCTGAGGGTTTAGGGTTTAGGGTTTAGGGTTTAGGGCTTGCGAAGCCTTTTCAGGGCTTGGCGTTGAGCCCCACCACAACAGCTGCAGCAGCAACAACAACTGCTGCAGCAGCAGCAGCAACAACAGCTGCAGCAGCAGCAGCAACAACAGCTGCAGCAGCAGCAGCAACAGGAACGCAGAACAAGAGCAGCAGCAGCAGTCATATCATCTGCGGCAACATCAGCAGCAACCGCAACCACAGTATCAGCAGCAGCATCAGCAGCAGCGTCAGCAGCAGCAGCAACAGCAGCATCAGCAGCAGCAGCAGCAGCAGCAAAAACAGCAGCAACAGCAGCAGCAGCAGCAGCAGCAGAAACAGCAGCAACAGCAGCAGCAGCAGAAACAGCAGCACCTCTCCATAATACCTTTTTAAGTCTGCCTTCTCAGCACTTGTCTGCCGATGATTCGATTTCGGTGTCTCTACATTCCTCTTCTAGAATCTAGGGTTTAGGGTTTAGGGTTTAGGGTTTAGGGTTTAGGGTTTAGGGATGCTGCAGCTCTCGCGGTTGCTGCTGGGGGGGGGCCCGGGCCGCTCGCTTTGTGTTGCTACCCACCACGGCCTTTCTGACGGTCCCTATCGTCGCTTGAAGTTTATACTAAACCCTCACATTGCCCGCAAGAGACACAGAGTAAACCCTAAACCCTAAACCCTAAACCCTCGTAAACCCTTGAATATAAACCCTAAAGCTTATATGTTGCTCACTGAAACAACTCTTCTACCCTGAGATAACACCCCGTTTTTTCTCTTTTTTTTTTCTATCGAATTTGGTGGTTTGGAGAGGTCTAGGGTTTAGGGTTTAGGGTTTAGGGTTTAGGGTTTAGGTGTTTGTATGCAGGACGTTCTGGTGTCTGCTGACGTGGATACTTTGGTGTGTACTGCTCGCGAGTTGCTGCTGCGTGCGGCGCTGGGATCGTCTCCCAAGCCGACCCCACACTCGATCCCAGCCCCGGCCCCACACTCGCCCCCAGCCCCGGCCCCACACTCGCCCCCAGCCCCGGCCCCACACTCGATCCCGGAGACGATCCCCAAGAGCGAGGGGTTTTGGAGCGTCTTCGGCCGCCGAGCCAAAGAAAGCCTTCATTTGTTTTCGGTTGCAGATGCAGCAATTGTTGCTGCTGCGTTGCATGCACATCATAGAGACACAGGTGGATCGAGGGTTTAGGGTTTAGGGTTTAGGGTTTAGGGTTTAGGGTTTAGGGGTTGGGGTTTAGGAACGAAGTTACGGGTTTAGAGGGTGATGTCAGCGCTTGCTGTCTAGGGTTTAGGGTTTAGCGTTTGTACGAGGGTTTAGGGTGTAGGGTTTAGGGCTGGGCGTTGGATAGCAGCAGAAGTAACCCAGGGTTTAGGGTTTAGGGTTTAGGGTTTAGGGTTTAGGGTTTAGGGTTTGTGTTTCAGGGTTTTTCGTGTCTGTGGCTCCGTCCTTCGGTCTCCTTTCCTCGTCCCCAAGGCGCAGCGGGGCGGAGCGTCG